AATATCTATTCGTTTATTCCATAATTAAATATAGTTTTTATGGGTTTTTAACAGAAAAAACATAACAATAAGGCATATAACAAAAAAAAAACATCACAAACCACTATAAAAAGACCTAACAAAAAAAAAACATCACAAACCACAATAAAAAAACATAACAATAAGGCACATAACAAAAAAAAAACATCACAAACCACTATAAAAAACCCACTACAAAAAAACCTAAGTATCTCGGCACAACAAGGGGCCAAGTCTGAGTTTTCAATCACGCATATTATTTCTTAAAATAACACCCCTGATAATGTATTTATTTTTTTGAAAATAATGGCATTGCAAATGTTATAACATTGCTGTAAAGTTCATAATATTCATAATTTTTATTAACATCGGTTAATGATAATTTTTTGGTAGAGCAGGATGACAGACTAGAATTCATATAGCCAACCACATATAATTGGAAAGAAACTCTAGATGATTATATGTTATAATTATGGAAAAAGTTTATATGAGGATGCTACCTTATAATGTAGAACTACGGATGCCTCTAAAAAATCCATCGAAAAAAGGTAGTTTTATTGTTGAAAAACCCTTTGATTGATCATCTCGACATCGAGATGTATGACTATGAAAAATAAAACGATTTTAAGTCTTAGAAGTAGTGCATTTTACAACATATTATCTACACCGTCCATTTTCAAGATTTTCATATGTTTATAGATCTACTTGATTTTAACCATTCTTGCAATTTAAAATTTTAGAATTAGATATAAAAATAGATTTTGAAATAACTTTTACATCAAAATTATATACCACAATGTCTACATAGACACCAACGGATGCATCCATATGGAAACTACACCCTATTATTATAATTATAGTCCGATATAAAACATGACGGGAGCAAAACTTTATGGAAAATAATAAATATTTGTTACAACCTATAATAATAGTCAGATATAAAACATGGAGCAAAACTTTATGGAAAATAATAAATATTTGTTACACCCTATAATTATAGTCCGATATAAAACATGACGGGAGCAAAACTTTATGGAAAATAAATAAATATTTGTTTCGAAGATAAAACATGACGGGAGCAAAACTTTATGGAAAATGAATAAATATTTGTTTCGAAGATAAAACATGACGGGAGCAAAACTTTATGGAAAATAAATAAGTATTTGTTTTGTAGATTCGTGCGGTGAGCGCGGATCGAACATGTAATCTTCTGATCTTCAGTCTGACGCTCTCCCAACTGAGCTATCCCCACAAGTGATGTTATTGTGTCTGTTTTTATTAATAAAACCATTAAAAATGCAAAAAGACGCATACACGTACTTTAAGAGAGAAAGAGAGAGTAAATTACTCGCTGTGAAAAGTAAAATAGGAATCAAACCGTCAGCTAAGAGCGAGAGATTACTTCCTTTTTTTTTTTATTTCTTACTTAAAAAGAAGAAAATTGTTATGTATCCGGGGATGCATTCTACATTTGTATCTCCCGAGATATAAAGCATCCATCTTAAAGATGGATGCTAATGGATTGTCCATCTAAAAACAATTGAAACTACCATTCCAAATGTATTCTTCATAGATTATTATTTTAAATTTATTTATTTATTCATATTCATGATCTCCACATTAAAGATTCTCTATCCTTAAAAATTGTCTCAAAAATAGAGTTTTAATAGGAGATCCGTTACTGCATAGACTCGTAAAAACCATTTCCCAAAAAAAAAAAAAGGGATATTCAAGAGAGAGAGTATGTTTTATGTGAAGCCTTCATCAATATCAGATCCATGTTACACATTTGAAAAATATTAGAGCCAAGTTACGATCCAAAAAAAATATAAAAAGCAAGAGAAAGAAGAGAAAATACACAGAGATAAATTACCTAAATAGTCGCCCACCTTGAACCTGTTATTCTCTGCCCAATCACGGACGGTGGGCAAACTCATCTTGTCCTCTAAAGTTCATGGTAAAGATGCTCAATTATTATGGATGGAGGTATACTATTGTTTTTTAAAATATTTGGAAGAACTCTGGTGTGGCATCAATATATGGTAAAATGAGATAAAGTAGATCTAGATAAGGCTGGTCATTTGTAGTGCAGATCCAGTACAACATTTGTTACGAGGTGCAAGCTAATTCAAGTGTAAAGCTCAAAAAAGGCACGGGCTAGACCTAAAAGGACATGGTTGAAACTAATGAAAAAATATAGGAAATAACTCTTGATAGAGAAAAACAGTGGAACAAGATTAATATAATTTACCCCAACTAGTTGAAAAAAGGCTTTTAATAATGATAATAATAAAAATATTCTTTTAAACAACAATATTATTTCTTAGGAAATGTCTTTCTTAAACAAATCTAAGCACGTAGATTTCTCTAAAGAAAATCACTTTCTTAAACTATTATTTTTCAAAGGTTTATATAATTGGGTTTGAAAACGGCCTTATAAGTTCGGTTCTACAATCAACTCTCCCATGTAATTGTGGATAAAGGCACAATATCAGTATAAAAATAATTGAAAAAGGCTTTTGATGATGATGATGAAAAAAATATTATTTTAAAAACAATATTATTTATTAGCAAATCAATGCATAAAGAGATTTCTTTTTAAAATTTTTTTTTTTTTAAAATATTATTAAAATTAAAAATAATTATGACCTCCTTGTATCAAAGGTAAACAATCTTATTATATACAATCCCTTATATAATTGGTTTAAAAATAGCCTTATCAGTGCATTCAACTCCCATTGTAATTGTGGATAAAGGCACAATTATAATCCCTTATGGAGGCCCAATGAAATACGCAATGTCCTGAGAAAAAAAAAAAAAAAGTAGGGTCCAAATTTTGGAAAAAGTTGGTTAGGTGCCAAAAACCCATTAATTTTTCTGACTTTGTAATTAAATATTTAACATAAAAAAGGATTTTCGAACCTAAAATTAATATATTTGTAGTATATTATAGACTATTCATTTTTAAGTATTTTATATGGATAGGTTGAATCTGCACTATTTTTAAATCTTCAAATTTGGATGCAATTTCTATAAAGGCTTAGGCTTTATGAAAAAAAGTAAAGCTTCACCTCAAAATATTAACGAAAAGACATTTTGGGTATGCGAAATGCCTAAGATGGCACTCTAAAATGTATTTTCATCACTAATAATGAAATTTTTAATTCAAAAAATGGGACAAATCCGGTGGATCCAATAATACTTGAAAATGGACGGTAGAGGTAATGTACACTCTATTTTACAGTTTGAAATCCTAATTTTTTTGGAAAAATTATCTCAGTGCACCCGATTTTGGTGTTCCATTTTCTTATAGACCTTGTGTTTTAAAACCATTCTAGCGATGTAGATTCTCTAAAAAATATATCTTTTAACTCCCTAGTCCCAATTTACCCATTTTGATTGCTCTTTTTTGCTCAAACAAAAACTAAAAAGACAACTTTATATGTCAAGTACACGTCTTTATTTCTCAAAGAGCAGACAAAGGGGGCAGTAAATTGGGTTAAAAAAACCTATGGCTCTAGAAAGACTTTAAAAACCCTAGGTCTATAGGGAAATGATGCACGAAAATAGGGTATACGAATATATTTTCTCATTTTTTTGACAATCATAGTAATCAAGTAGAATCAAAACACCTAAAAAATCCATCAAAAAATACTATTTTGATGTTAGAAAACCTAATTGATTATCTCGAGACATCAAGATGTAATGGATATGAAAACAAAAAAAGGATTTCAAAGTCTTAATAATATTATGTCTTGCACAATAAATTAACAAGAGCATCCATTTTCAAAATTTTCATGCGTTTAAAATTGATTTGAAGCATTTTTAAAGTTTAAAATTTTATAATTAAACACAAAATTTTTACACCAATATTGCATGACAATGTTTAGGTGGTGTAACATTGGAACCAAACCTCAATAGTACTTTTTTCCATAAACCATTGGACTTGTTTACTTTAATCTTTTTCTTTTTAAAAAAAGGTTCAAATTTGAAACATCGTATTAAGTCAATAAATGTCTACTAGAGGACCTTTGAGGTCAATTTCAAGAGTGTGAAAATGGTTCCTCCAAACCATCGTAAAAATCTCTTAATGGTTGGTTCCTCCCAAGGCCTTTACTCAAGGTACAAACTTCACCCACGTAGTGCCCACTCTGTCAAGTGTTTGTTTAAAAAATATATTTACCTACCAACCTAAGTTTTCTTTCACTTTCTTCCAAAAAACACACTCGATTTCTATAAAACTTACCCCTCCAACCTATAAATTGTTCTCTCATTTTTTCCAAAAAAACACTCAAAACACCCACCAAAAGAAAAAATTCAACAGTTTTTTTTAGATAAAAACGTCCTTCTTCGTAATAAAAATCAATTTGGCTAAAAAATCAATTTGACTAGATTTGAAGTTAACTTTCGGAGCTCATTGTCAAAATGAGAAGCCCGGTGATGCACTGCCGAAGCGTACATAGATAGTGCCGAAACACAGTGACTACATAGTCTTGCAATGCCAAAAAGCTGTTGGAGTGTAAGCACTTTTTTATTTTTTATTTGGTTGATGGGGGTATTTACATAAAAAATATCTTTTTGAGAAAAAAGTGAGAGAGAAAAATTAAGTTGAAGATAAATTGTATAAAAAGTGTAGTTTTGAGGTTTTTTTTAAATTCTCTTCTATTTCTCTCTCTCCAATTAAGTATGGTTTCTATTTTCCTATTGTTTTGTAAGAATGGTTTCTATTTTTCTATTTTCTTTAAGAATGGTTTCTATCTTTCTATTTTCTTAAAGAATGGTTTCTACTTTTCCATTTCGTTCAAGAATGTGGACTCCCCTCTCTCCAATTCAGTATATTTTCTATTTTTCATCTATAAGATTGTGGACTCTCTCTCTCCAATATTTTTTACTCTGAATAAGTATAGAGGCATTGGCTTGATAGTAGTGTATGTATCTTTTTTCCTTCATTCGAAGCCAAAAAAGCATATAAAGAGCTCAAATGACACCATAATAAATCCGTCCACTGGTATATATTTATTCCAAAACAAGAACACTGATCAAAATGAATGATAGGGTCAAGAAATACCCATCCAATTTTACACCACTAATCCCTCCCCAATTTCCATATCAACCCAAATGAATGTGTGTATACCTCAAAAAACCCAAAGACTTTGAAAAAAAAAAAAATAGTAACTGTATAAAGAAGAAAAACATAAGACATCTATCCGAGCCCCTGTCTAGAACAAAACCATCATTAAACCAGCCAAAACCAGAGCAAAGCCAGCATTGAAAACCACCATTAGAGCTTGAGGAGGAGCTGAGCTAGATGGGGGAACAGCAGGGCTAGAAGGAGAGAGAGCAGGGCCATCTCCAGAAGGAGAGAAAGCAGGACCATCTCCAGCAATGGGTGCCCTCGGAGATAAAACCACCACAATCACTTTCTCTCCCTTTTCACAGGCATCTTTCTCTCCGCTAATGAAGTAGTGGGGGCCTGATTTCTCCAGCTTAACCACCGAGTTTCCGTCGTTGTAAGAGGCGATGGGAGATGAGGTTATGCAGGTATTGTAGTCGTTCTCTGTGACTTGGAGAACTGAGTCGTTGTCCTTGTTGTATTTAAACACTGCGTAGACCAAAATAGAGATTAGAGAAATTGTAAAACAAACGTGTAGAAAGATTAGACAGAGAGATAAAATCCAAACACAGTATTGACTTTCTAAAGATAAAAAAAAAATTACATAAAACAATTGGAAGAAAGAAATAAATCACTTTCAATGGCTTCCAAAGCTAGGGTTTTTCTCAATCAAACCACAAAAGCCTATGAGCAAAGAGGTTCTCTACCAAGCAAAAAATGGAAAAATCAAGAACAAATGAACTAAAACGAAAGAAAAAAAAGCCAGAGTTAGGGTTTTTCTCTCACCAAGATGATCACCAATTTGGAAGCGAGAGCTCTCGGCCCACTGTTTCAAAATACCAGAAGAAGAATTAGAAGGAACCGTCCATGCCCCATCTTTTCCACCTCCAACTGTATACTCTCTACCCTCTGAAACTCTCAAAGCAACAAGAAATAAAGCCAAAACAGAGAGCCAGGTTCTCGACGCCATTATGGAGCAAATCTGAGCTTCAAAAACGGCGAATAAATAAAGCAAAACAACGAAGAAATACGAGAGAAATAGCTCTTCGTTCGATGAACGGTGAAGAAGAACGCGCGGTCCATTTTATAGAGAGAGGGAGGTCCAGAGTAGCCGTTAGGTTTGGCTCCGGAGTTAGGTTCGGGTATCAAGCATGCTTCGATGCCTCGCGCCACGTGGCCGTAGCAGGCTTTTTTGCTATTTTTTGATTTGGAATCCAAAGCGCTTTCTCGAAAAATAGCCGTTGCTATTAGGGTAAATATGGTAAGTGGCATGGAGGCGAAAAGATTTCGCCGAAATTTCGCCAATTGGCTAGGCTTTAAATAGGTTGGTCGACTGTTACATGCCGGTGGCTTTAATATTTCGGTCCGAAAGTTTTGGACACCCTCCGAAATTTCGTTAACTATGACGCGTATTAATAAATTTTTGGGCTTAAACCTTAGTGCATGACAGGCAAGTTTTTTAAGAGGAGATAATAGCGTCATTAAATACTACATTTGCATTAAGTAATTTGCTAATTTTGTAAACATAGTAAATTTCCTGAAACTTCCCCAAATTGCTGAGTTTCAAAAAAGAGTATTAAGTGAATGGGTCTAACAATAGTGCCAGACGGTACGAAAGACGATAATATCGTCATTATTTTGGAAATTATTTAAATAATATTTATTTTCTAAAGATGACAGGTGGAATGGTCACAGTACTTCCAAAATCAATGAATGTGGTTCAATAAATAATTTTACCAGAAAATCAATCACTACCTAAAAATCTTATGGTTTGGGTAAACTCTCATATATTTTTAGGAAGTTTCTCAAACTATGTCATTTTTTATAGAATTTAAATACGATGAAATGGTGAGATGTTAAATAGTTCAACTTTTGGGTGCTTTTTGATAAAGTTTGCAAAATTTTAAATTTGTAAAAACTTATCATAAATACTCAAATTACCTGTTTCGGGTTCTATGGCCCTTACCGATGTAGGTGTTTTGATAATTTGAACCGCTTTTAAGGAACTTGATCCAAATGATCTATATACCCTTTAGTTGGTACAAGTTCTAGCATGAGAATAAGCACAACCAATTTGGCATTTTTTCCCCCACTCAAGTCATCGATGCTAAAAGATGTAAATATGGTTGCACGTTCTAGGTTCAAAGAATTTCCAATAGGAAAATGATATTTTATTCAAGATTGTATACAATGAGATCATTATTTATAACCTTCGGATGTGAAATTTGATAACTTGGGTGTGGTACAAAGTTCAAAATTTTTTTTGTTGAAGTTTAAGCTTGGTCATTGGAATAAATGTAACCATTGAATTTCACATCTGATGCTCATGATTAATTGTGACCGCCTTGTATGAAAGGTAAATGATCACATTCGTTCCTGTTCTAAATTTGAAACTAGATGGATATTTAGGATATTGGGGTCAAGTAAATTAAATGGCCATATTACCAAAGACCTTGAATAAAAATCGAAAGGACAATTTAAGTATGGGTACAATTGGCATACGAATGCATTCGCAGCTGTGGAGGTAAGGTGCACCTTCAAATTTTATCATGGTATATAATTTTGATGTAAAATGTTATTAGGATTATCTCAAAATCTATTTTTATATTTAATTATAAAATTTTAAATTTCAAAAATGGTTAAAATCAAGTAGATCTATAAACATATGAAAATCTTGAAAATGGACGGTGCAGATAATATGTTGTAAAATGCACTATTTTTGAGACTTAAAATCTTTTTATTTTTCATGGGCATACATCTCATGTCGAGATGATCAATCAAAGGTATTTTCAACATTAAAACAATCTCTTCCAATGGATTCTTGAGGTGCATCCATAGTTCTACATTAGAAGGTTGCATCCTTATATATACTTTTTTCTTTAAGTATTTACTAACAGACAACTTAAAATTTACTAATGTGAAATAATTATTAAGACTAATCACTTTATCGAAAATTCATTTCAACCGCATTGAATTTTTTTTGGTGGTTTATCTATAGTTTCCCTAAGAAATGTTCTGCTCTAAAAATTAAAAGAAAAGGCATAAAAGTAAAATCAATTGGTCCCTTGCTTTCCATCACGATCCATGACCATGGATTACCTATGGTCATGAATTCTCTCTATGTACATTATCTAGTACTTTCTTTATTTTGCCTCAGCACATAGTTGAAAAAACAGTCCATAAATGTATCGGGAGAATGGCTTGGGGCCTTGGTGGTAGTATTGCTGAGTCCCATAGTGAAACCTATAACTTCATTCTCACTAAAAGGTAAGAACCCAAATCCTCACTGAACCAATTTTTTTGATGGCTTCCCCATTACAAAAATTTACTCACCCAAAAAAAAGGAAATTGAAAATATGTCCCGAAAACATATCATGGTCAAAACTCTTAAATAAAGTGGAATCATGAAACTTTTCCCATAAATAGAACGGGGCAAAACAAATAAATGCTGGAAACCAACTCATCCACTTGGGCAAAAGGGATAAAGGAAAGTAATATTATCTTTTTAAAATAGGATATGTTAGTTAAAATGATGCATTTCTTATTGATCAAATTGAATTTAGTCAAGGGTGAGGTTTGTACGAGGTGTTATACCTTTGAAATAAGGTGTACTCAAACCGTGCCGAAAATACAAAAAATACAGTTCTAATGCCTCAAATCCTTGCAATGATATGAAAATCTATTGTTTTCCTAATTTATTAAATTTAAAATTTTAGAAGTTGTGACAATCGAACAAATTTATAAATACTTAAAAATCTTAAAAATGGACGATAGATGAACTATTTTTGAGACTAGAAATCCCTGTTTTTTCTTTTCATGTGTATGAATCTCAAGGTCGAGATAACTAATTTGAGGAACAACCTTCCCTAATGGGCTTTTTAAGTGCACCTTATTTGCACAGTATAAGGTTGATACCTTATATAAACTTTTTCTTTTATTCAATGTAGAATTATCCAACACATAAATTAATTACAATGAGAAAATCTAAGGTTTTAAAAAACAGAGATAGCGTATCCTGATTTTTGTTTTGGTTAAGCAAATGAACAATCTGGATCGGCAATCCAGTCAACTGAACCACTCATTAAAATCTAAAAAATAATAAATTAAAAACAATAAAAAAAAGTAGGTTCAATTCTGACCAGTTTTCTAATAGAACCGGCCATAACTGACCTTATCATGGAGGGAACCAACCGGTTCCCGATATTTCGCAAGAACCAGATCAACCCCTTGACTTCCTCTTATTTTATTTTATTTTTTTTCTTGTTTTTCAAGCATATATAATGTGTTTTTTAAGTCCCCTTGATTCCCCACCCCACAAACCACTATTTTATTTTATTTATTTTTTACTTTTTAATATTTTTGGATAATTGATTTGGATGATCCAAACCCAGTCCAGATCATTAATCCAACAATCGAAAATGGATCTATAGGTGAACAAACCGCCCCATTTTGAAACACTGACTATGACCAAGACCTTGTGAGTTACTAATCAAACGACTCTTCTCATGGGAACAAAGAGAAGCAAATCTATTCTCTACTTGATAAGTATCAATACGCAATGGGGAAATTGGTCCCATTGGAAGCTAATGCATGTTTATTTGTTCATCATTCCAACGATTCATCTGAAAGATCCATTAAGGATATTCTTCATTCCGGATTCGTCTATGAACCTTCCAATTTATGAATAATATACGATAAACGACAATATCATGAAGACAATAAACCCACTCGTACATTTCCGCATCAAAGTGAAATTATAGTGCTTAACTCCTTTTTCCTTCATGCCTTTTGGTATTCCAAAAGTGCCTTTCCATAATCCTAAAAAAGAAGACGCAACTTGGGTTACATATAGTGCGACTTGTCCGACATATTGGATAATATGGAATTCCCCCATCTACTACAGGTTTAGCTAACTCATCTACCTCAGTTAATATCTTTGTTCGATTATGAAAGGTATCAATGAGTAAATAGGTCCGACACCCTTCGCATCACTGCCCAACCAATTTTTAGGGGGTGATGACCACCAGGACTGTATAATTCACATGGCCTTGAAGATTATACCACACTGCCCCATATTTTCCCGAAACAATATACATTTTATGGAGAGTTATCAAGGTACGCGTTTAGGAATATCGTATATGGAGAGCATACAATTTGGCGTATATGTATTATGTATATGAGAAGCATACGATAGGGCTTTCTCTACCATGGAAAAAAAAACAGCTCATCCTATAGCACCCTGTGTATGATAAGGCTTTATAGGGAACGGGGCCAGTTCCATCAAAGAATCGGCCGGTTTAAGCACAAACTGCATGGTTACCAATGCGATTCTGATCGAGCTAGGTGATTTTTTTAACATTGATATACACTACAGAAAACCACATGAGTATTTACTGATTGTTTGGATCAAGAATTAAAAATTTGTACACAAAACATATCCTTCTAACCCTTTCCCTAGAATAAAGTAAGGAATGAAATTTGCTCCAAAAAGTGTGGTTGCTGGCACAAATAATAAGGATTGTCTACAAAGAGACCAATTATCTTTTACGAAATGATCATATAAGACTCTTTTTTACCCATGTGTGTAAAACCCCAAAAAATCACCATTAAATTTGATACAAATCTACAGAAAAATCAAGTCTCACACCCGTATGATAACTTTTGTAAAGATCTGTACCAACTTTAATGGTGATCCTTTGAAGTCCTACACATGGATGGAAGAGGGTTCTATAGAATCATTACTCTTATCGAAAAATTGGACAGCTTGAGGTGAGCTACGAAGTCAGAGATTTTTTTTTTTTTTTTGAAACTTTGTGTCTATTCAACGACACTCTCACCACCATCTATATTGAAATTTAAAACACAATAATGATTGTGCCTACGAAAGTTGTAGGCAACCCTAAATAACCAAGGTTAATTATTCATTCGGGTTGAGTTTTTTTTAATTAGCATTATGTTATTATTGTCTTAGGCCTTGGGACTTGGAACTCTGGAGTACCCCTTGTCTCTCCAGTCCCTCATTCCACAATCCAAGAGATCATCTGTCGTCCTCGTCTTAGAAGGCGTGTGATGGT